AATTAAGTGTATACTGTTATACCCCTTTGGAAAAGTGCGTTACACTTGTCAAATTCAATCATGCACAACTTAATCACTACGATCATATTATTAATTACGTCAAGGTTTAGTTTCTCGGATTCTTAACTATTGCAATATATCTAATGAATTTTACTCGGATTCTTAACTAGCGAATAGGTAAAAAAAAAATTAAAAATTAAAAAATAAGTTTTTCTACCTATATTTTTTTTTTACCTACTTTACTTGCTCATCTTCAATATTATTGTATTAAAATCTCACTCTTTCTCTTTTCTTTCACGATTCTGATGCAATAGTATTGAAGATGAATAAGTAAAGTGGGTAATAAAAAAAAAGTTGAATATCTTATCTCTAAAAAAAATATTTCTTCTTATATACGATTTAGGGGTTATTATAACTAATATATCATTTATCTTAAATCCTCAGCAAATCCAATCACTTGTGTTATCTAAGAAAATTTTTTTATTAGAAATGTGGCTATCTACGTAGAGTAGAGAAGCGGTTTTCCTCCCAGTGGGTGGAGCATGTATAAGTTGGGTGGGGCCTCGTCCCGGACTAAATTTTAATAAATTGTACTTATTATATATAATTATATAATTAATTATAATTTGGTCTAAGTTAAAATTATAATTTTTCCGAGCTAGAATTTATAATTTGACTCTATTTAAAACTTAAAATAATTTTGGTGAAAGATTTGGATAAGTTATATTAGGTTATGTGTTCAATTTTTACTTATATAAAAGAAAAGAAAATATTTTGTAGTAAAATTAAAAAATATTTAATAAAATTATAACTCTTTTTTATGTTACCTGCTCAGATGCTCTATATTTAATATAATTTAAATATATTATAATATAAATTAATTACAATTAAAAAAATAAACACACATATAATTTTTTTTGGTACGAACTCAAATTGGAGCCCTGCTCACACTGTTTCCTCCTAAGCTGCAACCCTTTTAAACATGAATTTGATTTTTGAATATCAGTAGCTCAACTATTAGGATGCACTCTTGAAGAGTTCTAGTCTTTTCACCTCAGAGTGATCAGTGTTTGATTTAATCTGTTTTGAAAGGTAATTCAGAACCTATATAGATGGCCTAATAAATAAAATAAAAATAAAAATGAAGAACCACTAATAGCTTCAACAGTACTAGCGGTGAATTGAATACATATTATTCAAACAAGCTTAAATTGAATTCAGAATGTTTTTTTTTTGGCAGATGTTATTACTATTTAGTGACTTATAGAAGATAATTTAAATAAAACATTCGTGAAATTATTATTATTTAATGAGAAATAAATTTAGATTAGTCTAAAAAAATGAATGAAAGACTTAATACAGCCTTGCCTATGAACTTTCCTTAGCCACCACCGACCCACCCCGAAATCAACTCAAAATAGGATAAAAAATAAAACAAACAGAAACAAAAAGAAGGGTCACATTGAAAAGGACGGAAGTTAACAACATCCTACTTAACTAATAATAGAAAACCAACCTTTTATTGGAATAAATCTTTGGTGCTACTGTTGCACCAAAGATTCAGTACATCCCACCAATAAAATTATTACATGTCAGCTAAAGTTTTTTTTCTTTGTCAAATTTTTTTTCTCTCCTATGATGTGTGATACTTTCATGATGGGATGCACTGAATCTTGGTGCGGCAGTAGCACCAAAGATTTATTCCTTTTATTGGCACATTGGAAAAAAGTTAGAGAGGATAATTAGGAGAGATAGAAGATAGATATGCATGTGATCAAGAACTCATGGTGATGGTGATGAGTAATTTGAAAACTTTGCTTAGGTTGTTGGTGAATCTTTATGAGGCCTTAGGTGAATTTAACTAAAGCAAGATAACAAGAGAACTCAAGATTATAGGGACCCATATAATAATCATTACATGTCATGTTAATTTTATCATATTCATACGGTGTTTGTTGCAAAAAAAAGATGCTTTAACACGAGATAATGGGAAAGCACCACTAGTTATTTGCGAGTATGTGAAGAGATGAATAGACAAGCAAATGATTTAGACCTTCTAAAGTAATAGGACAAAGGATATAATGGTAATGGAATCGGAATTTGGAGATGTAGTTTTGGGAATTTGCCCTCAATCGCTCAATGAAGTAAAAAAAAAAATGCCATCTGTTCAACTTTCCTTTTCATGTTGGTATATTTGGTCAATAATGTCTAAGCCAGGGCAGTGTTTTCAGGCCATTGGTTATATATGCTTTTCCTTTTTTTATATATATAACACAGAATGATTCTTTCCTTCTAATTATGTAATACAAGCATTTCAGATATGAACAATTTCACTTTCATTTCCTTTTTGACTCCTTTTTTTTTTTAATAAATATAGTAATGCATCTGTGCACAAAATTTGGATAGATAATAATAGATACTAAAAAGCAAAATTGTTGTGAGGGAGAAGGGAAAATGGATCTCCTCCTCATGGACATTCATATTGGCACTAAGCCGAAGTTCAAGTGACACCAAATTTTTATAATTGGGTTCGTCTGGTTATTTTATTTTATTTTTAGATATTATCTATTGGTATATGGATTATTTGATTTGTTCAATTTGAACCAAATAAAATTACATGAGCGACAAATCTTTATCTATCAAATTTTTAACATAATTACATTCCAAATATTCAAAATTTGAGACCACTAGTTATGCTGGAACAAGGTCTTACAAGTTGATGCATATACTTGTTGGTTGGTTATCTTATCTTTCGGAATTGAGAAGGCTTGACATCATTGACCAAAGGAGTGCCATTCTTCTTTCCTCCTTTTGTTTTTCCTTATTCAATAATTACTAAAACAAGGATGCCATTTACCATTATACCCTTCTGCCGCTAAAATGTTCACAACTCTTGTCACACTTGCTTAATCAATGGCAAAAAAATATATGTTTAAGCACATTTTCTAAAACATATATGATAATAAAATTGAACAATTGGCACCAAAAGTTTATTTATCTTTTTCTCTGTTTGATTGCAATCTTTATGTTTGTCTCTTACCTGAACATGTGTGAGGCAGCCATGCATGCTGCAATATAAAGCAAAAGACCAAAATGTAGTGAAGTCCATCAAAGAATCCAACCTCTTAAGCAAAACTCAAAAAATGACATCATTTTGTTTTAGAAGATGGAACTCACTTTATACTCATTTTCTTAGTTGAACACTCATCTAAAATCCTAGTCTACATTTTAATCATAAGCTTCATATTTTTCTCCCTCTCAGCTTTTTTTTTAAGCTTTCAAAGCTTATAATTACAATTGTTGGTCATTTCTAGTGACATTGGAGGCCAACCAACATACCCTGTGGCAGTGGGCGTCCTATGAATCATCACCTTTGTTTCTTTCTTGCCATTTCCTTCCTCACAGATTTGCTTTTTGTGGAATTGACTTTTGACATTTGTGCCTCCCCCATATGACAGACACAATGCTGATATGTATGCTCCTCATAAATCTTAAAACGTTGTCTACAATGATTTTTTTTTTCTTTCAATTTTTTCGATTATGATATGAAGAATCAGTAAATTTTTAATTTTTAAAGTATTTTGTCCAGAAATTTCATTTTAGGGAATATAAAGCCACCTTTGCTACCATCTTTTACATGTTTTATCTTTAGAATTGTGATTTAAGGCATTACTTTCTAAATTTGAGAGAGAATATTCTTACTACCAAAATTTTCTACTACTAACGTATTACCTATCTAATCACCATTGAATCAAGGAGAGAGAATGTTAAAAAAAAATTTTAAAAAAGAAAATGTTGATCCAATAGTGATTAGATAGGTAGTGAGTTGGTAGTAGAAAATTTTGGTAGTAAGAATATCCCTTCTCTTTAAATTTGACTAACAACTAATCACAATCACACAGCACGGTAATTTTAAATTTTAAATATATAAATTAAAAAATTATTTTAAATTATAAGAGATATATTAATAATTAATATAAATAGAAATTAAAAATTATAGATTAAAAAAATTAAATTATAAAGAATAGAGTAGTGTTATTCTTACAACCTAAAAGTTTTACAACCATTTTTTCACCTTTAAACAGTATGATCAAAAAAGCACGAAGCATAAAAATAAGTGCGGATTTAAAATAAAATAAAATGTTATATACTAACATTTCCTGCGTAAGAATTAAATGAACAATCCAAAACACAGCATTTTTACGGAAATATTTATTATTTTTCAATTCTCAAAATATTAATAGTGAGATTATTTCTGAAAATGCTTTTTCTTAGTATTGAGAAATGAGAAACAAACCGGCTTCCCAATACATTTTTTTTAACACCATACGGAAGTCGAATTCTCCCAAATCAGCTTTCTTTAAACAGCGACTTCTATGGAGATAGACTAGAGAAGTCATCCAAAACGGAACGGCATGAATTATGAAAAATATATATGAAAGTTTTGATTGCTAAAAGTGTCCTTTTATCATTGTAATATACTAATACCCAAAAAAAAAACGTTTTAAATTTTGTAATGCATGCTAATTTACAATGTCGTACATTACATCTTTTTTAACTATGTTCAATGCTATTATATTTTAATTATATATTTTGCCTCCACCTTTTATAACTTACAATTTACAGATAATTTTTTTTTTATAATTAAATAATTAATTTTACATTCAGTATTTAAACAAAACACGTTAGGAAATCAATTTATGAAAAACAGATTTTCCAATATATATAAAACAAATAAATAAATAGACGTTAAAAACCTCCCAACAAAATAATTTTCTAAATTTAAAAAAATAAGGATTTCAGTAAAAATGCTCAGACAACGCTATTTTTCTATCCTTATACTCGTCACGTCCAAATTTGTTATGTATCCGGCACATCGTATCCAGAGCTTAACTTACACCAAAAAATTAAATAAATAGACACCGCAGAAACCACAAAGAATGCATTGTCATTTTGTATTTTCTATGTCAGACGTTTAATTTACAGAAAGACATGGCTGAAAGTAGTATTATACATAGGGGTTTGCATTCATCATTTAACAATTAACATGACCACAAAAAATTTCCTACACACACAATATTTTGTGGGGTCCGCATGTTTTGAAGAAAAAAAAAAAAAAACTACAGCACGCAAAATGAATCTCTATAACATAACACGACCACTTTTCCTATAACATAACTTTTATAAAACCCTTATACATATACCAAAATTTATAACAGTGAGTTTACGTCGGCCACTGTTCTGTTGCTTAGGACATAATATGACCTATAGAAAACTAAACGTCAAATCATCATCATCCCCTAACTGCACAAAAATTGCTATTTATCATATTCAAAGATAAATTTTTAAGAAATTAGCTGCTTCAAAGAAACAAAACTCACCTCACAGTTAAATTGCAGAAGTCTTCAATCCGAGTGATCACGAAAGCGAATAATTCTTTTGATGAAGGGTTTTTCCCGGCAATAGCTAAAAGACAATTATAAAACAAAGGAAGCAAGAATAAACAACTGTATTCAACAGAAGATCTTAATAGTCAAAAAAAGAAATTTAAAAAAAGAAGAAGAATCAAGAATATACATCACATATGATGACACAAAGAAGCAAGCCAGCCCAACAGAGAAATGGATCATAAACGTTGGCCAGAAATTATCTTGGTCCAAAAATATGTTCTCAGAAATGAGAGTGATTACACCTGAAAGTAACAGAATAATCCATCCCGAAGGCAAGCAGCTATGGAAAGAAAATGAGGAAGACCCCTGTGAACAAAAATAAAAATAAAAATGAAATCCAGTGTCAGAATTAGCATTTAATTACAGTCAGCTAATCCAAAGCCAATAGCCATACCTGGAAGTAATTCTTTATGAATATAGCAGAGTATAAAATCCTCAAGGACATATCTTTAGTCGAGTCAAGTGAACAAAACTTTATCTTTTCCACAAAGGATGCAAATCAAAAATGGGAAATTTAAGGTTGAGCTAATAATAGGGAACATATAAAATTCCTAGGAGATCAATACTTATGCCGCATTTAGATGCAAGAAATTGAAAAAGAGAAAAGGATAAATATCTTTAGAATAATAAATATGGTAGTAAAACACACAATAACGCAAATGAGATTGAATATTTCATTTTTTTTATTCTCTCTTTCAATATATTTTTATTTATTTTTGTTGATCAAGAGCCTCGCTTTCTTTAAATATCTCCCCTCATAATCTCTCTTACATTTAGATCTTAATTTTCCTTTAACCTTCCCTTGAAGAATAGGTTAAATTTAAAAATTATAACCGAAAGTGTTTGAGCATCCATACGGCTTTCCATAAGAAAAAATTGTGAAATAGCATGAAATAAACAACTTTAAGAGATTGCTATGCAGGCAATCAGAAGGTAGAAAGGATACTAAGTGAATTTGCTATAATCAAGCCAACTGCCCCAGCTAACCTTATTAGTAGGACATTCAAAATTATATAGATCAAAGAGAATAGAAGTAGCGAATCATTTGAACGCTTGAGTTGGCTCTCTGTTGCAACTGCATGCATAAAGGCTTCAGAGGTTCCTGAAGCAAGGAGAGAAATATTATAATTATAAGGATGAAAAACTTGATCCACGAGGATAGCAAGCTACTTACAAACTACGGAAATAAGTAAATGCATAATGGGTGTTGGATTAAAACTATTTCAGTCAAAGACTCTAATGGGGCCCTTGGCAAACTTTGCTAATGCATCAATATTTATTAGGCATTCAAGCAAAAATGCTAATAGTTGAACAATTTGACTTAGAATACCAAAATCGTGTGCTAAATGGATTAAATTGGATCATGGGTTTTCAGTTGTCCGTCAAAATTTTAGGAAGTCACACATTTGAAAGTTTCTCCCAATTTTTATGCTCAAATTCTTATTTGCCATTCAAATTTACCTAAAGTTATAACCAAATTGCATTTCCTACTATTATATCCTTCTCATTATCTCTCCATATACGTCCACCCATCATGTCAAAATCCCCCATGTTTTCCATGACTGTTCCATTGAAGTAATTTTTACTCGTAATCCAATATCTTGTGTCCTACAGAACGACTAAGCAGTAACGATCTTCCTTCAAGTGAACAATATACGTAGGTTTCTCAACTTACTCCAGAGTCCAGCCATATCCAAATTTATCTGTACAGCCCTCCTACTCATTTGGTTGTAGCTAATAATATATTGAGCAAGCTTAAAATTCTCACATTTTGATAGCTAGTCTTGTGGTGTTACTTAATTATCTATAATGAGTCATGAAAATCTAATAAAACTGACATTTCATTTACTAATTCCTACTAAATCTAGAAAATAGAGCCCCAAAAATCAATGCATCCAATATAAGTGTGAGTGGTTGAGTGCAGAATAATAAACGAGATGTTATGGTCATAAGCTGTAAACACTAAAAGTATTTCGGCAATAAAAAATTGAGCAACAAGAGACAAGGGGAATTACCATTCATAGCCAAAACAATGACATAAAAGCAATAATAGCGGAGGGCAGTTGAGGCTTCTCCATCACTCCATTTCTTGCCATACAGCAATCTAATGAGCGAATAAGAATAGCTTGGACCAAATGCCATAAAAACAAGGCCTACAAAGCACATAGCTGGATATGATACCACAAAAGGAACACTAGAATACACAATTTAAGGCACAACATGTCCAAATCTATTCACATGTTGAAAAAAAATAAAGCTACTTCCACAACTTTTCAGAACTGCATGAGTGGCTAAATTTGAGTTTAACAGAGACAAGTTTAGGTAGGCTGGCCTGCTAAACTTGGATAGAGCCATGAAGGCATGCATAATTGTGACTTGAGACCAGAAAATTTGTTTAGATATCACTACTAAGAGAAAAATTACTAATTATCCAAAAACAAATTTGCACCAACTAGATCTTCTAAAATCTACATATAAATTAAAACCACAGATTGGGCTAAGGATTTCATGCTGATAATTTTATGATCTCAGAAGGATTATCAATGCCTTGGATAGCATCCTCATTTAGAGATCATCTAATACTACCGTTTCTATCAAATTATATGTCTACAGATGTCTTTCACCAGGCAGATCACATTTTCTTCAGTTTATCATAAAAAGGCTCTTCCCTATGGCATGTAGCTATGTAGTACTGACCCTAAGTAACTGATGTCTAGCTAAAGAAAAACTTCTCTCACATAGTTATTGTTGAGATATATAGTCCCAGTTCTTTACATGGTATTAGAACTTGAGGTTTGATCCTCACCGCCCCCCACTTTAAAGTGGAAGCACAAAAAAGGTAAACCAAAGATTGGGTCTGTTGCATAATCCACGCTTCAAGCTAAGAGGGCTCTTGCGTGAGGGGGCGTGTTGAGATATATAGTCCCACATTGGTTGAAAAGCAACTAATATGGAGTTTATAAGGCCTTGGACACTCCCACCCTTTTTGAGCTAGCTTTTGGGATGGTGTATCCCAAGGTTCTTTACAATTATATAATTTTTTTCCAATTCATTTTACATAGGGGTCATAGTGTAATAAATAGTTAGGTTTTTCTTTCTTTTTTGGCAAGAAAATCATATGCAGAATAAAAGAGAAATACATAGGTTTAAGTTTTGCTTATTTCTACAGAAGAGAAAAGGATAGTTCAATACAGCATTTAAAAGCAAACCCAATATTAGGCAAGGTAGAATCTCATATGGTTATACAGTGATTTACATTGTCTAGATACAACTTAAGTCAACTACTCTGAGGAAGACTTAACATCAACATTTTTTTTTGAAGTTATGTGACTTTAGCAATCTTTGTAGAACCATTGAGAGGCTGTTTGGATGGGCTTCTACCATTCCAAAAACTGCTTTTTTTTTTTAAATATAAGTGCTTTTAGGATTTTTTAACTATTTGGATGGTGACTTTTAAAAAAAGCAAAAGCTAATGAAAAAGTCAAAATTTTGTTTTTTTCAAAAGCTAAGATTTTTAACTTCTGGGAGAAGGAGAAGGAGAAGCCAAAAACGGATAGCAGCTCTTGCGCCTGCTTGTCGCCGAAGCGCGGCGTTTGCGACGGTGATAACGACCCCAATCCTCCTCTTTCTCTGCTGAGCCTCCATTTTACAAATCAATCTCAAACAGTTCAAACCGTGTTCAGATGGAATCAAAGAACAGAAAAATCATACTTTCGATAGAAAAAGAACAGAGAATGAATTGCCGATGTTTGAATGAGGTTATTATAGTGTTTGATTCAGATGCAATTTGCAGTGAGAGAATCGAAGAGTCTCATACTTCATTTCAGAACCATTTGTTTCAGTTTATTTATTCAATGGTTAATAGTTAATAATATTAATATAATATGACTCAGAGAAAGAGAGAGAGAAAGTGTCTCTGTTGTGGAAGCTGGAAGAAAAGGTAATTGAAGAAGAAAGAAATGGAAGGCGTTATGATATTTTATACATAAAAGTGCTTTTTTATTTTAACATCCAAATGATATTTTTACTTAAAAGTGCTTTCCGAATATTATATCCAAACTCAAAATATTTTTAGCTTTTAAAAAAGTTCTTCTAGAAAAAGTAACTCATAAAAAGTTCTTTTTTTCAAAAGCACATCCAAACGGGCAATATCCTAGTCAAACTAAAATACAGGAAAATATGCTTCTTTCTTCAAATAAGGACCAGAAATAGCTTCTTGTGACTGAATAATATGAAAACTACGGAACATGTATCCAGGACAAAATATGAAATTAAACGAAAAGACATACCAATCAACAAAACTAACTTCAGGGACTCTGTCAAGCAGTTTCCTAATTTCTTGCTTTTTCCTGGGTATTGTCCTGTCAGGAATGACCAAAACATGTTTCAGTTTGTGAAATTAAAAACAATTTCACTGTGGCTACGCGCCTAACCAAAACAGTAAACTTTATGATTAAATATGAAAGGAATTCAGTATTTATAACTAGAACATGAAGTTAAAAAAATGTCTAGATAAACTATTCTTAACATAGTCATGAAATCATGACCAAGACCCCTTCACATGTGATCTAAAAGAACGTCATACATATTGAAATAGCTACATTTCCCCGTGATGTAATATAAAGTTTATTTATTACTGTTTCATAAATAAACTTTGACATTGGATGATCAATTTCTTAAATCATTATAATTTATAAGACAAAAAAAATTGAGAGGACTGATACCCAGTTAAACCTAATACAAATACCCCAGGTAAATGAAGGAAAAGAAATGATAAATAGGAGGCACATGAAGAATTGGCACATCAAAAGCAATTTTCTATATGAATGAACAAATAAAAGGAAAAGCAACAGTAGAATAGAAACAAATAATAATAATAAAAAAAATAAAATTGAAACAGGTTTTCTGGTCCAAACATCAAATAAACAAGAGAGAAATAGAACCTGAAGCAGACCTTGCAAATGCTGCATATGAACTTTCTTCAAAAGGTAAAAAGACTAGTCTCACCACTAAGCTACCTGAAAGGTGGTAATTTTATCATGCTTCTCAATAAAGATAAGAAAGACTCTTAACGCAATTAGAAAACTTTTTAGAAAATATTAATTATGCTTTCTGGCTCAAATCATCCGAGCCAAATACCGACCTAATTTGTCCACAAGGCCGTATGTAGCTTGATTAAAAGGTGTATCCAACCACACAAGCACCATCTTTTCTCCTTCCTGAAGGACCAACTTTCTAAAGGATTGAAAGGTAAACAGCATACACATCTTGGACAGCTGCTGGTCAAAATCAATAACTTTATCTTTTCTGCAAAAATTTGTTACTTATAAATTGCACACTGATAATATAAATAAGCAGACATCAAATACAATAAGGTTTGTTAATGTTTTTCCACTTTTACTTGCAAAGCGTATTAAATATACCATGTATTCACTAAGAGAAGACAAGATCTGTTATTAATAGCAGTATCTCAGCCATAACAGAATAGAGATAATGTGGTAACCAGGTGCAAAACAGAGAATATGGACAAGAGAAATAGACATGGGATTTAATGTGGTTCAACCTGCAGTAGACTACAGGCTTACATCCCACAGGCGAAACAGAGAAATTCACTATGATCAATGAAGATTACAAGGAGTAGAATCTAGCAAATACCATCCCTCTGCAATGACCTGAGAATATCTAGCCTTTCATATTTCTATGTAAGGTTGCAAGATCACTGCTTAGAGCAGAACTGCTCAGAGCAGAAAAGTAATCCCCAGAAATTTAACTAGAGCATAGCCTATTAAATTCCTAAGATACAAATCCTTTCCTTGAGCTCCTGCTGCCTAGTTCTAGATTCATGAACAGTCAGAATTATTTTAATTACCTTTATCTTCTTCTGGAAGAGAAAATGATAAAATAGGACCAACGACATAGACATATTTACAATAAAAACAAAATAACTATACCTGAATGGGAAAAGGTAAGAACGTCTAAATTTGCGGAAAAGAACCAGATAGCCCCAATAACCAAGAAATAAGCAGGCTCCATATGCAGACTGCGACAATGCAAATATGATTGATTTTTCCTGGAAATGGTCATTCAACTCTGACTCAGTTGCATTTAAATGGAGACATTTGTTAGAAATATAAAACTACCATTTTTGGGCCTCCACCTAACAGCTTAAGCTTTTGGGAGAGTCAGTTCATGATAGAATCATTACACAGCCCATCAAACTCTATTATCTAGACTATAGATTATAAGTGCATAAACATTCAATGCAATTTGTACAAATTAGTTCTTATCAGATGCAGGACAGGAAAAGAAACAAACTAATATAAACTTGTAAAATAGTGTGTCAAGTTTCTAATGAAATAAATTGCTTTAAAAAAGCAACACTACTACATACTGTCAATGATACAAGAGGGCAGCACTTAAAAGTTCCTTTGTATCTTTTGCTTGCCCATTAAACTGCCAAGATTTGACAATTAAAGAGAGATGAAGGGCTACATTCTTGGTTTTCAACAACTGTTATATTAAAAAACTCTTTTTTAAAGGTTTTTCAACAGGATTTTTTTTATCCCACAGATTATATCATCAGCGCAAAGATTACAAGTGTGAACGTTCAATATTCCTAAAATGAGAAATGCAGAAAACATTTATTTCCAAATTTGATTTATATTCTTATTTTAGTTGTTTTCTGATTTCCCCTATTTTCTCTAACTTTTTGTGATTTCTGTTGATCATTGCATTGCATGTCTGATTAATCTGAGCAGCCTTCAGTTCATCAAGAATATAACAAATGAAGAATATAATACTTGGTCTGATGGTCTCGCTTTTTGAATTTGTTTGAACGATTGGTAGGGTAAAAAAAGAAAATCAAAAGTATTTTGCTGAGACAACAGTAACTAGCAAAATAGAAATTAGTCCAAGAACCAACTTGTCATTAGGATATTACATAATTACATGAATAACAGAAAAAGGACTGACTGTCGGCTTAATGATAAGGATACTAAAACCCAAAATATATGGCAAAGTCCAACTAAGCTCTTACCATTCCAGTTTGCTTGACAATTAGGAAGTACAATGTCAAGCACCGTGAAAGAGTAGCTACTGTCTCAACCATCAGTCGTAATTCAAGCAAGACTAAATTCTGTGAAAGAATATACAAAGGCTCAGCCAAGAGCTCCAATATGCATGCAAAACCTGGCATAACAAGTGAACTTCGTTGATAAATTTTTTTCAAAAATTACATCATGTGATAGCTTGAAGAGTTATTCCAGGGTGCTTGTTTTCATGCAATTTGAAGGGAAATAAGATTATGGAAAATACAATTTATTACCCATAAAAGAAGAAAAAAAAGGTATATAGATGACAAAAAGTTTCATTAGATTACCATTGATCAAAATAGCTTGCCCATGTGGACTAGAATAACTTATTCCTTGCCACCAGAAGACAAAAAGGCATGCTACAATTGTAATGAATATTCCAAGTGGGAGACTCATCCATACTACTTTCATTAGCTTCACAACGTCTTTTTCCATTGAAGTGTCATCACTATAAAATGGAAAAACATATTATAAAGAAGCTCGCTCAAAAGTGTAGGAAAGTTGAATTAAAAAAATAAAAAAATAATGAAAGATATAAAATCATAATTCACAACATCTGAACTATAATATTTTTGGAATACATATTTTTAACAATCAAAGAATTATAGATATAACCAAGGATTGAGAGATTCAATTCGTCATTCACTAGCCTTTCAACCAAAGTGAAAACAGATCCTTTTATATAATTTCAGTACATCCTCTTTCCCTGGCCAGTAACAATTTATCCAAAGCATCATAAAACAATTCTTTTGAGGCATGCTGTAAATAAGTAGCTCACAAACATAGATCCCACAAGCATAATCAAAGGGAATGGAAAGAACTAACAAATCCCTCATCATCAAGCATGGAAGAAGTCCAATCATTAATGAGGAGTCGAGCAAGGAAACCTAAGAGAATTAGCAAGCACGAGGGATCACCATTTCATATCCATCCGCATGCATGCTCGTCGGAAGCCCTCCCGGCTAAGAAATAAAACACATGTGACAAACAGATGAAACTGCACTGCGTACAGCTGAATCAAAGAAAGTTATCATAAGTGTAAATCAATTTTTATCACAAAAGTTTATGATGCAACTCAGAATGACAACCAAACACATAAATATACCAAAAATGACTCCCAAATAAAGAAATATAGAGATAAAGCATGTGATCATTTGAAAAGTTCAACAAAAAAACCCTGAACTTCATAAAAAAGATGTCAGTAAGAGGGTTAGTGACAAAAATGTAACCGATTACTGATGCCATCTAATCCAAGTTAAATGGAAAAGTAAGTTGAAAACACATCTTTCAAGTTTTAAGCCGCGTAAAATCAGCATACAATTATGCACACAGAAGATGGAAACAGCAATAAAATAAATCAGATTCTAGAAAAACAGTTACCGCATAGTCCTCTTGTGTAAGATGCCTCACAATCCATGTATTGAATATAAATGGAATTCCTCTTGACAAAAATTGAGTAGCTGGAGTCATGAAATCCAAAAAAAAAAAAAAAAGTAAATAAATAAATAAAAATGAAAAGTAAGGTACCAAATAAGCTAACTCGCATTGCAGAATATAAAAATTGTAACTCTTCAGAAACTCTTCATTCAAGAAAGCAAATAAACTTCATTCATGTCCAAAACAGCTAAAATGTAAAGTTTACTGTTACCACTGTGCTAAAACAGCTGAAAATTATAACCTAACCTAATAGGTATTTGAAGGTTCGTGACAGATTGGTAGGGTCTTTATCATTCGACATTGCAACTGGAAATGATGTTTGGGCCTTTTATGTTATGTATTAGAAACTGCAAAAAAAAAAAAAAAAAAAAAAACGAAGACGCGACTCTGTTAGTTTCTTCGATGATTGATTAATCAGAAAAGAATACATGAGTTTGGGAAATGTAAGCGTACCTGGTACGTTACGTTTCCGATGCGGCTTGGTATTGCAGCAGGTTGCCGGTTCCAGCTTCAGAGAGAAACGCTAGATATTAAAGGTAAGTAACAGAGTCAAATACCTAGCTACTTGTTGCCCAAACGATGTCGTTGCTTCCTGAGGATGCGTTCACCGGATGGTGGGTTTCCGCTGAATTCCGGCGAGATTACAAATTTTCACTTGCACTGTATTCTTCTAAACTTGTCAAAATTACTAAATTACACTCTACCCCGTTGCGAGGACTGAAGAGCAATAATTTATTTTATTTTATTTTAGAAACTAACGAGAATAAATTGAAGTAAAAAAAAAAAAAAGGGAAAGGAAATGAAAGATTAAATGATAATTTATTTATTTTTATCTAAAAAATTGAAAAGATTTTGAAATTATTTTAAAATTGAATGATGGACTTTGAGAGAATTATAGGTTAATTTTTAATTTTCTTTTCTCGTTTTATTAAATTTTAAGAGAAGTGTTTGCATAAAAGTTAAAACAAAAATTTGAAAGTCATTAGGAATGATAAGGGACATGAATAATTTGGTTAAGGTTGTAACTTCAATGTCATTATTATATAAAAAAAACAATAATTGAATGAATATTGACTTAACTAATAAAATTGAACAACCTATTACCAAAAAAAATAAAAATTGAACAACCTAAATAAAAAGGTCTCATTCATTTTTTGGATGATCTTCCATTGATAAATCCCAAATTGATGACTTGTAATTTTTTTTTTTTCATTTTTATTTTTTGGAAATTAATGTTTTACAAAAACCACATTTTTTTCTGAGTTGAGGTCAATAAGAATTCATATCATGAATGAACAAATTTGTTACAGTCCAGAGCAAAACAACATAACACTCCTCCAGTGCTTATTTAGAGAATTGAAAATACGTCCTATTCATTAACAATACAGCGCATTTTTAAGTGTTAAGGAATAATACAATATAGTTTTGTGAACTGTTGTGTTAACTTTGAATGCCGGATCCAGTTATCAATAAACTGCCAACAGACATAGTTCTGGTGTATTAATAGTCACTGTACAATTTACCATGCTGGAATATTTATGTACAGTTGCTACTACCAATATATATTTACACTGAGCAACCTGCCAAAATGTTACTTTCCACCCCCAGTATCCACTCACAAATGATAATATTCACTTGTTCTGGCACCTCATCGTGCGGACAATGGCCTGCAATGTCAAGGAAAAAAATGGCCAAGTTTGCAACAAGCCTAATGAGCCTTGTCAAAAATAAAAGTACAAATACATAAAACTGTAGTTACCAGCATCTAATTCTTTAATTATAACTCCATCACAATGTTCTTTCAGCGTAGCCACCTTGGAATTGGAGTCAGAAATTGGATCTTTCATCCCCTGACAATAAAGAAACCAATAGCAACATATGAAGCTATACCAGAAAGTAATTATCATACATATTGTTCCAACTTATTTTGTCCACATCTGAAGAAAACAATAACAACATATGAAGCTATACCTGAATAATTAGAACCTTTTCCTTGATATCTTCAAGAAGAAAGTTAAGAGGTATGGAAAGATTAAAGCTAAAGATGCTTTCCAAGACCACGAGCACACCAGGATCATATGACTTTCACATATGTAAAGGATGTCAAAAAGGATGATATATGCATATCAGAATGCAAAACCTGATGCAATACAAATAATTCAAATTCTAGATGTAGGGATACTGCTCTTAGCATTTCATTTATGAGCCAATCATCTGCTCTTTCAATCCTCTGCAAAACAAAATGCCACAGAATCAGGCACCATCAACACCAACGTAAAACAATTAAACAAATATATGAGATGTGATAATTTGCGACAAAAAATTACACTTACAGTTGGATAACATTTCTTAACTATATCTTGAATTGTTAGTCTCAAGTAGAATAAAAGAACGCGAGAACCCAACCAAGAAGCCCCTGAAGTTTGTCTATCCTGGATGTTTATAAGTAAACAGAAAAGTAAATTTCAGAGAGAACGATCTAATTAAGTTGTACTCATACTAAAGCTATAAACAAAGTCAAATTATAGCAAGAAATGTTTGGAGATTACAAAATCTGTAGGATTTGAGGTAGATAAACATATTATACTTTATTACGGGAAAAAAAGGAGTGTAATGGACACATTTGAACAGTTCTACGAAGTAGGTACCACCACATATAAAGGAGGAGAAATTTAACAATGGCAAGAAAAAGCAAATTATGTCGTGCCAATAGAAAAAACTATGTCGTGCCTTCCAAGTGTTATGGTATGAACTTCATTTGTTCTAAGCTATACTTACTCTAGACAAAGGTATGGATGTATATCGTGGGATGATATTGCCAGCACTGTTGATCAAGACAATGGATTTGATCAAAACACTCCAAATACGAGCAACAATAGCAACAAAATAACCTGAATTAGGAAAAAGTAACTATTAAATATGATCAACTCATCAACAGGAGCAAGAATAAACTGGTTAAAAAATTATATACAGGAGCCAAGTTACAGTGCATGTGTGTGAATGGAAAGGACACAGATTTTTGGTGACAAGGTACTCAATTTGTGTTCATACCACCAATTGAGTTGCCAACAAGGTGTACTGGTTCACCCACAACATCAACAATAAAATCTCTCAATAGTTCAACCCACAAGAGCTCAGTATATACAATATTTGGCTTTTCTGATTTGCCAAATCCTAACATTGTAATAGCCCAAACACGATTTCCAGCTCCAGCTAAACTGTGTATGTTGTCACGGTAATGCTCCCAGAAAGCGCCAAAACCATGAACAAGAAGAACAGCTGGACCATCATCACCAGCAACTGTATACTGAGAAAAGCAATTTAAACAAGAAATTAGCGGTAAATTTTATAAATATATACTTAAGCTGGACTAAGTGTTTCAGGTTCTTAACTCATTTCACTGAGAAAAGAAAATTGAGTGCGCACTTGAAAATTGGAATTAATAGGAAATCAAACATTGACTATGAGCCAATCAATTGAATACCTCAATAAGGAAACCATTCCATCTCCATATCCGCCTTGAGTGTATTCCGTCATTAGTTACCTGATTTCTCAAAGCCAAAAGCCAATACCACTATGACACCAAAAAAATTATATAATTAAATCATTTGCTTAAAAAAAGAAAAAGAAACAGAAAAAGGTCAAGACTAGTACCCTGGTATAACAGTATAACAGATAAGACATAACCAAATCAACAAGGCACATAACAATTTGTACTCTAATGCAGCATAAGTGTTATTTTATAACTAGCACCTCCTTTGAGGACACAGCGTCAACTGCTGCTGCAATTGTGGCAGCTGAATATCCAAAGGGAGATAAGAATCCTGCATTCCTTTCTTTCTCATATTTGATAGCTTCATAGTGTACTCTTCTTCTAGATATAATGCCAAGAGATAGGGCACTACCGAATAGTCCAATAAATGATACTCCATTCCGACTTTCAGAAGAACGCATTGTTTCATGTATCCTGCACAATTTAGAGGTGAAGGAATATGTCATGACATGTAAATGTTTTTATTTAATGAACTCAATAGCAACATTTTAGAAGCTTAGCAAATGAAACAAAGATTAAATGAGAATAACCAGAAAAGAACACATTGTTTGTGTTAAATGAATTAACCATTTGGAAAAGACCAAAATGTGAATTGCAAACACTGCAGCACTTGAGGTAAAGACAGGCAATGCACAATACTTAGTAGATTCTGCCCTTCTTATGATACAGAGGAATAGAATATAATAAAAGAAGGAGGGGGGGGGGGGGGGGGGGGGAGGGGGAATTTACAAACTAGAAAGAGAAAATGAAGGTAATAATGAGAAGCCAACTATAAAACATTACTTTCAGTCTCTAGAATGTTCAAGATATTTACCAAAAAAACAAACAAACAAAATTTCAAAAAGTGGGTTGTCACTACATAGTACATACTCTTTCCAGTCATCACGAGCAGTTCCCTCCAAATATCTCAAATATGCAGCCAACGCATTCAGTACATTGCTTGTTCCACCTCCTACAGCATTTCGTGTCACATTTGGTTCCCTTGACTGCATTTGTCTAAAGCTATAACTTCTTTCACTGCTCTCGCTAGACTTCAATATTTCTCTGCATAATAAGGTTTCAGCTGATGTTTCCTTGATTAAATTCCAATTGTCTCCCAATTTCCGTTGGTTGTTGGTCATAAATTCTTCTATATCATCGTATACGGGAAGCACACCTAATGCAATGAACAATTATGACATGACTTTTGGAAACATTTTGAAGTTCAGAAAATTAAATTAAAAAAAAATTCCTAGTTAAATCCCGACTAGAGATTTTATACGCAACCTTATCCTTCCATATTTGCAAAAAGGCTATTTCTCAAATTAGAATCCATGACAAATTCAGTCACAAAGGAACAACTTTACCATTGCTCTAGGTTCTCCCTCTTTAAAGTGTAGAAAATTAAATTGATTAGAAAAAAAATAATCTATAACATAATCTTAAAAAAAGAAGAAGACAGAAACAATAAGAGAAAAAGCCATCCACCACAGAACTCACCCCAGTCCAGTTCCATTGCTGCACCAGGTAATGTTGACAGCTGCTGAAGTGGTGTAGTTACTGGGAGTCGAAGTTTCTTAAAGTCATCATATGACGCAGGAAGATTTTGCAGAACCTATGTGATAGTGACAGTGATAATGTTAACGATACAATCCAACATGATGGAATTACTCAAAACAATCACCATCGAGAAATGAGTTCAACATATTTGCATAATCAACTAACCAAGCCAAACTAATTAATTACTAATGGCCTACACACCTTTACATCATAAAAGGGAGTGTGCCATAGTTCAATCCTTGGAGTCCCTTGAGAAACCACCACTGATTTCAAATGCTGGTTGACAACATCCATGATGAAGCGTAGTTCATACTCCACCTCTTGCTCCGCAAATACACAAGTGGCATTGACCTGTTCCATTCTGGGTGATGAATTTATTCAAGAAAAGGAATGGCATGAGTTGTTTGAAGAAGATCTCCTCATCCTCATGCATGAATGCATTGTATTGTAATGTAACAGTATCTATCAATTCAAGCAAGCTAAGTGCTAACTAACTAAAAAAGCAACAAACCTCAGTTGCAAGTTGCTGTATGACATTCTCTGCATTACCGAACCTGATCATTAGATCAGAACCACGATCCCGCAACGACTTCCTCAAATCTTGCACAGCGAACAGAACTAGTTCTAGCATTTCATCAGAAAAACCTGCAACCCCAATCACCGTCATAAGATTCGATTCCGAGCTTCACTTCACAAAACACAACTTGCAGAACGTTAAATTTATTACTTACGGGAGAGAATACGGTGATCGAAGACGTAAATAGGAATCAGTGATCGAAATTTGGAGGCTGCGAGGAGTCCTGGATGATCATCAGTTCGGAGGTCGTGCTTGAACCACAGAATGGCCGTATCAGTTGCCGTCATTGAGCAATAGCGGCGAGTTGGAGAGAAGGAGCGCGTGTTTGGGAAGGAAGAAAGTAAGGGAAAATGAGAAGAAAGTGAGAGAAAATGGGAAGAAAATCGAGGGAGAGTGAGGAGTGCCATGAGGGAAAGTATCGCATTTTTGGGGTTCATACTTCATAATCATAAATTGGAGGCTATGCATTTTTTTTGAAAATTTACACCAAAAAAAAAAAACTGAATATAAAGTTTGTTGACTAAACGGATCCACGTCACCACTATTTGTTATTTTATACATAATTATATACAAATCTTATACCACAAATTCCTTCTGATCAGTTTACTAAAAAAAATAAAAAAATTCCTTCTGAACAATAATAATTTACAAGCCTCTCGCACATCTGCCATAACAAAATTAAAAATTAAGGAAGTAAAAAAAATATAACACATTATATATTAGTTGAAAACATATTTATTCAAACACACTCATTGATTATAAGAGTATAATTTTTCTAATTTTGTGAGTTGGTCAATTTGTTCAAACAAAATGTTTTATACCTTGTAATTTTATAAGTTTAAATTAAAAAAAAAACTATAAAAGGATTGGTAATATAATGCTTTCGAGTATTGAGCTTTTTTTTAGAAATAATTTTCTTTTTTCTTATTTCATCAATTACTTTTTATTAAATTAAAATTTAAAAAATATAAATAAAAAATAATGATTTATGATTTATCTGAACATTAATATTGATGCACATGGCTGATTGCATATGGCCTAATGATTCAGGAAGTCTGAAGTCACCCAGAATTGTGACCCAATAAATGACTTAACTGTTATAAAAAATAATTTGAAATATAATAAATTACGATTAAATTCAAGTCCAAATGAAGTAGTATGATTGTGATTTGTTTGATAAAAAAAAAAAAAAAACACATTTGACACGATTTGAGTTTTAAGATTTTGACGTGAATGATTTAATTATAATTATTTATTTGTTTTAGAAGTTAATTACTATTATATTTATTTTAGGCCAAATAATTCCGAAAGTGCATAAAAAATATGGCTAGACAGAAAGTTGGGATTTCACAAAAAAGTAGTGTTATTAAACCCGACCCGGGTCCGATCGGGGTACTGGGTCACTGGGTTACTGGTCGGATCGATGGGTCACTTGTTGGACCGATTGACCGGATATATATAAATATATAAATATGAACATATAAATTCAATTATATGCTCAATATCTAAAATGAATTAAACAAGGTTCACTAAATATGCTCAAAAACATGAAGCATAAATAAATAAAAGTGCACGCTATTATTATGTCAATTTAAATTACAACTCAGAATCTCCATAAATATATTTCTCAATAAACATTGAACTCATAGTTTTCAATTCAACTACATTAAAATGACATATGTCACATTCTCTTAATTTATTATTCAGCAAATTACTTCAATACTGGAAGCTGAAATTTGGGGTCATTGTATAAGAGTATACTAGCAAATAAAATTACAAAAAAAATTTAAAATGAGTTCTACATTTTTTTTCTGACAAGATGAAACAATTTTGTTTTTTTTTTAAAATGCATGACCCGACCGGGTCATCGGGTTTGGCCAGTTTTGTCCGGGTTTGACCGAGTCAATGCATGACCGGTTCAATGCTTGACCCGAATCGGTCTGATGATCGGTTCACCGAGTCTCGGGTCGACCCGACCGGGTTTTACAACACTGCATAAAAGTAACCCTTTGGTTCTCAATTTCTATTAACAAAATAATAAAATTTAACTCCATAAGCTATGTTGCACCGACACTGACACATGACACGATACACGACATTACAAAACACCCTGACACGTTAATTCTAAAAAAAGTTAGATTTCGATACGTTAGGACACGTTTAGATATTAAATAATATTTTTAATATATATAATATAGTTTAAATTTAATACATATAGCAGCTCATAATAAGTCATATATCAATCAAATATTCAAATTTCATAACATAAATATAAAGAAATTTTTTTCTCATGCCTTATTATTTTTTCAGGTCAAATTTCATAACAGAAAATATTTTGATTTATAAATTAATTTTTCATATTTAGTTAAAAAGATAAAAATAAATAGATTTTGGATAAAAAAGTGTCTGAAAACGTTGACTGCATGTCAAAAACGTGTCAGAACTGTATGCCGGAAACGTGTCGGAGCATGGACCGTGTGTCAAAACATGATGGCGTTGTCCGACACACATTTCTTCTTCAAAGAGCGTGTCCGTGCATCCGTGCATTAGAATCCATGAGCACTCTTTATAGACTAACTACAAATTGATATAGTATTCAAAATTCAAAATCTAAAATCCTAAAAATAAGATTTGTCCTAAAATAAATATAAAGGTAATTACTTTTTAAAAATATATAAATAATTACAGTTAAATCATTCAAAATCAGTCCCAAATCTTAGATAACAAATTATCTTGAATTTGTTGCTTTCCTTTTCTTACCAAACAAATCACAATCATATCTCCTACTTTATTTGAACTTTAATTTGATCGTAATTTGTTATATTCAAAATTCATTATTCTTTTAATAATTGAGCCATATTTATTGGACCATGATTCTAGTTGTCTCCAGCTTCCTGAATCAATAGTTGAGTCACGTGTAATAAACTAACTGTAAGTGCAACAAATATAATTTCGGAGAGTCTCTTAAAAAGTGATAATAATAAAAAATTAAAAAATTTTAAAACAAAATATAAATTAAAATATTGTTTTCCTAAAATGATGATATTTTTATGAACAAAGTAATAAATATTTTAAAACACAAAAAGTATTACTTTATCAGAAAGGTTATATTTACATCTTATTTTCATTTACTATCTCTTATAATCATATCTTAACCATTTATTTTCGTCGATCAACGATTATTATTTTTGAAAATTAAATTTATTAATTAATTATTAAATTATAATAAATAATAATTATTGATTGACAAAAACAATGAAAATATAATTGTAAGAAATTATAAAAAAAAAGGTTATAATAACATTTCTCTTGTTTTATTACAAAAAATAATAATTAAAAATTGAACGTTTGCACCGGTCCAAAATAACAGCACTTCAAAGCACTTTAATTTTGCATTTATGGAGAATATCTGATATCTCCTTGATCATAGCATAATCTCAATAATCTTGTCTTTTCGAATTCATGAACCCGAATGTGTGGATGATAAAACCAACCAGTGTTGTTTTTCACTTTCACTTGCAGTTCTAGTTCTAGCAGAACAGAGAGGTTAGCATAGACATAGTACGATAATGTTTCGTGGCAGAGGAGGCATGGGGCGTGGACGAGGCACGCTTACTGTTGCTGGTAGAACTATGACAAGGACAAGGACAAGGGTTGATGTTGGTGTTGGTGGCAGAGGCTGTGACAGTGGGAAACAAAACCCTTTCTCATCCTCCATTGTTTCTTCTAGGCATACCCTCTCACCCATATCATTAAACTCTTCTTCATTGTCTTCTTCTACTGATAACAATCCCTTGTCTGGGTTATCAATTTCTGACTGGGTTTCTGTTCCTTCTGAGAATGAGGTTGAAGATGCTGTCTCTACCCTACAACAGTAAGCAACCTTATTCTCTAATTTGAGTCTAAAGTTTCTGTTTTTATTATTATTATTATTAAATTTTGCTTTGTTATGATAATGTGTTAACAATGCATGTGAAATTTTGGGAGTGCTTTTTAAATATTGTAATCTTAAAGAAATTTGGTATTATGATTGTCATTGTTGTGATTCAGGTGGTATTGGTAATAATGATTCTGACTAAAGCCTAATTTTTCGTATCATGTGATGTTGTGGTGATGAAGATAACAGAAGTTGAATGGTTGCAATTGTTTTATTTTATCTTTTGACAGAGCTAATTCCTTCAAGCAGATAATCATTCCTAGACTTTGTCTAGTTATTTTGCAATCATTTCTAAACAACTGATTGGAATATTTGTTTTAAAAAAATTTATTGACATATAAATTACTCGATTGTTTTCATTATCTTGTTTATTTGTTTCACTTGTAATCCTTGCAAGTTGTAATGCCGAGGGGATTATCTAGAAAGCACGGATGCCGCACGGGACATGAACATGAGAATATGGCAAATTTTAAAGCTATAGTAGATTACATGGCTGTAATGTAATATAAAATTAAAAAATAGTGAAATCTATTACAAAAAAATTTTAGATCAAAAGAGAGGATCTATATTTTGAAAGTTAGTACCAGTGAAGATAAACTTAATAAATTTCTATCATTTATCCATTTATTTGTTATTCCTAGCTTTACTGTTATAGTATTATCAAAGTGACTGTGAAGTACTCACAATGTTATTATTTTCAAGTGTACATGCTTCCTTGGGGTGGAAATCCCAATCTTCTGTGCCTTTTTCATGGTCTAATTGAGTTAGTTTTATCAGTATGACAGCATAGTTTTCATGGATATGATGTATTCATAGTTATTTTGGACAAGAAGTACATTCACTTATCAAACCTTTGAATACAGACCTATGGTGTAGTTGAGTTGCTTGTTTTGAGTATAAAGTTAATGCTTAACTATCAAAAATCAAAATTAATGCTTTCTTTACCCTTTTTCCCCTTATAATTTTGATTTTGCAAGATTTCATTACATTTAATTTCCGAGGTACTCTTATACGAATGTCTAGCAAACAGGATAAATGTTCTGTTTGTCTTTTTCAAATATGTTCTATCTTCAAGAATTTTTATTCTTTTAAATTCAAATAACATTATTTTCTAGCACATTTGACTATTTTATTTGAGATCAGTGATGCATGTTAGTGTATGTGCAGGGTGTTTGGAAATGAATTAGATTGTGTCCGAATTTCTGATTTAGTCAACCAAGTTTCTTCGGATGTATCAGAGACAGACTGGACAGAACCATCTTTGTTTACTTATAATTCAAGAGTGCTACAATTTAATGGATCTGATAGAGTTTATTATGCGATTCATTTATTGCAGACTGATCCATCCGTTCAGGTTCAGTTTATGATCTCTGACTCTTATTTTAATGAAATTTTTTTAAATCTTCAAATAAAATTGTGAACCAAATTTAAATGACAGTACTTTAGTAATTAAACCTATTACCAACATTTAACCTGCCTACAAAAATAATGGACTGGAGAGTTTTGGATGTTATGTTTATTTCAGAATAAAATAAAGTAAAATCAGCACATGAACTTGGAGCCTTATGACTAGTGACAACCAGCTTCCTTGGGAAGTACTTATTGGTTTTGATCTGTTGGTCTCAATATTCAGTACTCATGGCTAATCTTTTCCTATTCACATGCTAGGTCTTAGAGCCTCTTGTAACCACACACGCAAGGGGGAAAAGAAGTAAAATTAGTAACACAAAGCTGCTTTTTATTGTTCTGTTTTTTCCTACTTCTAGTTGATCATGTAAGAAGCCCCTGATCATAATGAAGTAATGAACCCATTTATAATGTTATTTTCTGTTCATTTTGTCAAAGTAAATGTTTTTTTCAAAATGCTAAACTTAATATGCATGCCATCGTTCTGCTTAATGGACAAAAATGTCTCAAACAAGCTTTCAAAAGCTATGTTGTTTTTTGTATTAAAAAAAAAATAGCTATGTTGTTTCTACATGTATTGCAGTTTTTCTTATATCTATAATGAGAAATAAAATGGGCTTGCGGTGAAGGCTTTGGGTGAGGAGGTCTTGGGTTCATGATAGAGCCTTCATGCTGTCATTGATTAAAAAGAAAAAGAAAAATCAACAATTAAACTTACTGACTTCAATTATTACAAGTATTCAATGATTGTGGTCTTGCTGCAGAGAATTGTCAAATCATTATCTTCTGACAAAGCTGTTTGGGATGCTATTCTGAACAATGAAGTTGTACGGGAACTTAGGGAGTCAATATCTGCAGGTTGGCATTTAAGTATTTCATACTAAACCTGAGAAATTTGGATTGTATCTTAGTGACTCAGTTAAGTTGGAGTTATCTTTCACTCTATATCTCTCTCAGGAGGTTGGATGTAGGGGAAGGTTGGGTGGAATTGGTTCCTTTTACCTTATTCATGTTCATGCTGATAATTGCCATTAGCTTCTTAGCTCGTTTCTATTTTCAGTGTTGTATTGATAATATTATAGAAATATTATTAATATTATTATTATTGCTGACTTATGATGGAAATTGGATGTCTTCCACCGATACTTCCATTATCTACATATGAATCACAATTTGACTAATCTGGACATGAAATGTGCAGATGAAGTGCATGTTCTTCCAGATGGGACTGCTCACAGTGACTCCCTTACTACAAGAAATGTGGGGTCGATGTTTGTTACTGTCAAAGCCAAATTCATGGAAGTAATTGAGAAAATTACCAAGATTGTGAACCAGTTGTTTCAACATACTTATCAGAAGATAGGTGGAGGTGGAAATGGCTCTGACTCTGATAACCTCAAAGAGAAGCTGAAAGCTTGTTTAATGCTTACCATTATGGTCCTGTTGGTTGCCATGGTGAACCGTGCCAATAGCTAGGGCATGACAGAATTTGCCTACATAACAAGAATTCTCTTCGACTCTCGGAAGATTAATTTGTACTGCAAAACTTATGGATGCTTTGTTTTTTGTCGTTTTGCTTCTTCTTAGACAAAGAAATTTATGATTAAGCTATCATATGGTGGATGAGTTTTGGATGCTTTGTTTTATGTCCTTTGTCTTCTTCATAGACAAAGAAATATATGATTAAGCTATCATATGTTGCATGAATGATAGGCCTACTTTGCATGTTATTTGTTAGATTGTGCAGTTTATGTCAGACAATGCATTGAACTTATTTTGGTTGGCTTCATTTTCCCTACAAGTTATATTAAAGTAGAGATTTTGAAAGATATAGTTTGTGTGTCCGCAGCTTGCATGCAATATATGGTTCAAAACTACAAAAGAATTTGAAATATCTGACATTTGTCAATGATTTACTTCTTGCATAAAACTAACGCTTCCTACCAAGCAATAACAGAAATATGGCATATTCTACTTCATGCTTAGTATTTCGTCAATGTCAAATGCTAGGTCTAGTTTCCAATTTGCGCTTGCTCATCAGCAGTGCATTTGTAGTCCACCCATATTCACATAATATCCCTATTTACATAAACCACGCAGGTACCTGTACTATCCCTATATGATAGGGTATAACCGTATATTTTCTTTTACAGTTCAATTGAATCAAGATCAGGAGTTACAACAACCCTTTTACTAATCTCCCCAAGAACGCAGCAGTGTTTCTGTGTAGTGTTCATGGCCACAACATTTTGAGCAAAATCACAATTTAAACCTGGAGAGACCTGTATGAGAACCAAATTATATTGTTATCAAATGCGATAATTGAAGTCAACAACAACAAAACCTGTCCTCTTTGTAGGGTTCAATTGGATGGTTGGGAAGGTCAAAGGTGGTTCTTATAGCAGAGGTAACAATAGTTTGGAGCCTTAATCACCTGTAATTCACACTCAATCAACTTTTTTTCCATCTCCTCCAGATTCAGAGAGTTATTATGGAGAATAGTGATGGTGATAACTAAGATGAAGCTGACTATGATAGTGCATGTGACAAGCTAGGTGATTCTCATGAAGATGGAGACATAGCATTATCCTTCTCAGATTTAAAATAAGATCTTTCACTAAATGATGTGACATCATTATAGGACAAGATTGAACATAAATTCCGCAAACAACAAAGAGAATAAGGACATTTCATTAATCAAATTTCCTGTATATATGTTCAATCAATACATATTACGATCATAAAAGAAAATTTGAACTTTTAAGTTTTGCTCCATATTTGACGATCATGCCAGTGAATCTCAAATGATTATGATCTTCACAAATGTCTGCGTTGAGAGTGAGTACCAGCATGGAACCCTTCTGTGTATGCTTTGTTCTTAAATATCATCTGCAGTAAGATCATCTAGTTATCAGAACCACAGTTTTTCACATGATAAAGGCTTATCAACAAAGGGGGAAAAAGATGAATGGCATCATCAGATACTTACAGAAAGGTTTTTCATATCTGAGCTGAGAGCTTTCCGTAGATTCTCTGACACTCTAGTGCCCAGATGCTCCCCATGTTTCTGTATAGTGTCTTCATTGATCTGTGTGATCAAGATTTTTCAGCTTGATGCAGAAAGTATAGAAGTAGTTTGAAATAGAAAGAAAACCTACAGTTTTCTTTACCTCTGAAAGCAATAACTCTGATGTTTTATGCAATATTTCTTCAACAAATAGGTCAACATCTGCAAAGGATCTTGATGAATGAGTATTGTTGACTGGTTTCCACTTTGTATTTTTCTCACTAACAACTTTTGCTGCATCAGAAAGATTGACATGTTAGCAAGACATTCACACTGTTTCTAAGCACTAACATCTTTAAGCCACAAACATTGGAGATTTATAGCACGTTTGGTTTTGCTTAATTATTATACAAAAAAAACCAAAAGCTCTATTGGTAGCATTTTGATTATAAACTACTTTTAACATAAAATATTGGTGCATCAACATGACTGTACAATTTTGCGAATTGTGTCAGGTGCAGAGAGTGCAGGTAAAATTGTAGGTCCTAGACTCCAAAGTTCCAGTGGTATCAAGTTCAGTTTTAATGTAATCCTCGTGTAGTGATGATTTTGTGATAAGAAAAGAAATACTAATGGAGAGAAAAGAAATATAAACAACAAAAGGAGAAAATAGAAAAAATTAATCTATAAACACGAGAAACAGAAAATAAAAGACCGTGCCATCAACTTTAAAAGTATAATCAATTCGATCTTTGCAATGCATAATAATAGTTGAAATATAAGTCAATCTGTATATTGTTGCTTGAATAATCATGTATAGTGTATGGCCAAATGAGAATAATCGCTTTCCTAATTAAAGAACTAATTATAGGGAAACAAATCAGGAGTAAATAAAACATATAACCTTCACACTATTTCCTATGTCCTATCATAATATGTCTAATAAAAGAAAAAACATATCAATAATAATTACAACATTATACATTCTTTATTTGCAACAATATTTTACCATTAGGCAATACCTTTCGTCTTCTTGTTTGTAAAAAAAGGAAAGGAATTGCATCAAAGCTCAAACAAAAGGCATAACATTCAAACTTTCCAGATGTCATGTGATGGAACCAGAAAAATAACATTGAAATTATAGAGATAATGGAGGCCATGCCTCTTTTACATACACTAATATGCAGAAAATAAACCCCAAGAAAGCCTCAACTCCCTCAAACCAAACACCTAGGCTCAAGAGTTCCCTAGAGGTCTCTCAAATTCCCACCAACCAATTCTGAATACATGAATAATAGAAACATCACCCTAAACTTCTATATATACTAATTCTAAAATACTAATTAAAATACTAATGGGCTTGGATTATTTATTATAAGCCCATCATCATGCAATCAGAGTGTGAACAAAAAAATTGATTGCTTAAAGAATGAAATTTACATTGTCCAATGAAGAAATTTTGAAGAACTTTATAAGCTTGAACTAATGCTTCAGATTAAGAAAAAGAAATTATAGAAAAAGAGATTTATGAAGGAAGAAGTCTTAGGAAAACAAAACAGAGATCAAAACTAGTACCTAGGAGATTGGAAAACGTAACAAAGCATGCCATCAAAGCTCAAACAGAAGGCATAACATTCAAAATGTGTCTGACGTCAGGTAATCAGAGTGCAAATAAAAAAATTGATTGCCTAGAGAAAGAAATTTACATTGTCAAGTGAAGAAATTTTGAAGCACTTTATAAGCTTGAACCAGTGCTTCAATGTACGTAGAAGATTAAAAAAATAGAAAAAGAGATCTATAAAGAAAGAAGAAAAAGGTACAAAGAAAGAGGCTAGGAAGACACCCTCTCAAGAAAACAAAACAAAGAAATCAAAACTGGAACCTAGGAGATTGGAAAACGTAACAAAGCATGCCAATATCCTTGCTTGTCTGAAAAAGATACACCTCTAAGTACACCATGAGCAGAACACCAAAGAACTGCAAAGACAGAAGTCAGAACAATGCCACAAAATTTCAGCCTCTTTCTGAAAGCCAAAACCTCTGAAATTAGTTAAGAGAAATTTATGCAAGGCCTTAGGAAAGACCCAATATTCTTCAAAAATCCCAAACGAGTAGTTGCAGAACAGTGCAAAAATAGATAAGCACCAGTTTCCGAACTATAACTGCACATACACACATGTCGGTAGATAAACCAGTCAGAGGTCTGCGCTTCAATAACATGTCCTTAGTGTTGATTGTGTTAAGAACAACAGTCCAAACAAAAGATTTGATCTCAGATGGAGCTTTAGATTTCCATATGGGTTTTTCGAAAGAAAACTATCTCTATTAGGGGAATGGGTAAGGAGCTGAAAATAGGATTTGCAAAAAAAAAAGATACCCTAGGACATTGTTATCAAATGCGGGTAGTGGCCGGTAATTACCAAAAAGTAAACGTTGTTTTCATGCATGAAGATGGTACAATGAATGAAGATAGAATATCACATTTAACTGAATTTTGACCTGAAATTGTCTTGGACTTATTATCCACAGAAACATGGTTTTCAGGCAAAACTATTGAACCAGATGGAACTAGTGCAACTAGATCAGGGGGTTGATCTTTCCCCACTGTAGGATTGGCCTGCAAAGGGATAAAGAAAACATATGATTACTAATAATGAATAAATATGTCATCAAATAAGAAAAGGAAAGGAGATGCCAATAATTTTACTCACCTCGAAATCAACATAAGAGGGATCCCTTCCTATTGACTTAAGAAACTTGTCAAGATCACGGGCATTTAGAGCTGCAAGTGGGTAGAGGAGTGGAATCTAATTAATTTTTTTCTTAAAATATTTCTGAGATAACAAGTGTGCAAAATGGAGAGTAATAAAATTGATAACCTCAGTCCTCAGTAACTTTCAGCTATGTCTCCTATTTATTACTAATTCTCTTATTGAAAATCATTTCTAAACTAATTCAATTGGCAACAGCATCTAATATAAAACGACT